CCCGCGTGGGCCGGGCTGTCCGTGCGGGGCAACTCGGGCGTGCTGAGGGGTTGTTCCCTCAAAGCTGAACCTGAAAGAAATCCCTGCTGGGCCTGTAACGGTCTGAATGCCCTGGAGCGGCAAAAAGTTCTTGTGCTGTTCTGTCGAGTAACCTGGGTTAAAAGTCTCTCTCTTCCCTCCTGCTGTGTGCAAAGTTGGTGTTAGTATTAGGGGACCTGCACATCCCCCACCGGTGCAGTGGTCTGCCGGTGAAGTTCAAGAAGCTGCTGGTTCCAGGAAAGATTCAGCACATCTTGTGTACAGGAAACCTCTGCACCAAGGAGAGCTATGACTACCTCAGGACTCTGGCTGGGGACATCCATGTTGTTAGGGGGGACGCTGAGGTAATGTTCTTGCTGCTGTTAATTCCTCAGCCTGCCTTCCTGCATGCTGTGGTGGTCTCAATGAAACCTGGGGAGTCCTTCAGCATTAGCAATTCCTGAACTGTGTTTCACCAGAACAGGGAGAAGGGATGAGTAAGACTAAAGAAACTAATTTATGTTCTAGACCCTTCTTGCTGTGCTTGCAACAGGGGGGACTGGATGTGGGGGGTAATACATGTGCTTGATTCATTTGAACTAAGCACAAGTCTGATGGCTATGAGGCCACTGGAGTCCCGTAGCTGGCTGTGTAGTTGGAGGAACTGGGGGCTTGTGCACAGTTGTTTACTGTTGGGTAGCCTTGAGATTCCTGATCTCTGTGTGGTTCCACTCTGGTGCAAGTTCCCAGCTCTTTGCTCTGCAGTTGCTCTTGCTGGGGTGTGGTACAAACATCCTGTGGGTCCGCACACTGGAAGAGACCTTGTAAGCTTGAATGGCGAAAAGAGGGTTTGTGTCCTGTGACACAGGAACCTGCATTGTTTAGGTGAGGGGTCTTTGGCTGATTTATAGGCTGTGCCTTTCTCCTTCTCAGAGCCTGAATTATCCTGAAGAGAAGGTTGTAACTGTTGGGCAGTTCAGAATCGGGCTGATTCACGGCCATCAAGTTATTCCCTGGGGCGATCTGGCCAGCCTGGCACTGCTGCAGAGGCAGCTGGATGTGGACATTCTCATCTCGGGACACACGCACAGATTTGAAGCATTTGAACATGAAAACAAGTTCTACATCAACCCGGGATCAGCTACAGGAGCCTACAGTGCTTTGGAAACGTGAGTGAGGGGGGCCCTGAGCTGCCCAGTACAGCAGAGCCCATAGGCCTTACCTGAAATGTGTGCATTCACCTGCGAGTGGCTGGCTGCTGTGCTGCAGAGCACTCCTGAGGAAATATGAGGAACAGGAGGCCAGCTCTCTCCCTTCCCAGGGAACACAGGGGGGCTCCCCTGCTACCAGGGTTTTACTTAGCCCACATGTTGGGCATGACAGTCTGGAACTGGGGTGTGTTTTTGCTTTCTGGTGTCTTCCCAGAAGCTGCATGCTAGTATTTTGTAGGCAAACAGACTTTTGAAGGCACTGCCAAATTAAACGTCTGGGCCTGACAAGACTTAGGCTGTTCAGTAGCCTTGAGGGCTGTTCTCGTCCAAGCACAACTCTGCCTGAGACACCGTTGATAGTGCCTGCAAACTGCAGTGTTTCCTAGATCTCTCCAGCCCTTGGCAATGAAGTGTATCAGAATACATAGACATAGGATATGTTAGTAGCAAGAAGTGTAAGCTAATTGGGGAGATGGACAAAGTATGCTTTTTTTCCAGGAACATCATCCCTTCATTTGTACTGATGGATATCCAGGCTTCCACAGTTGTGACTTATGTATATCAACTAATTGAGGATGATGTGAAAGTAGAAAGAATTGAGTTCAAGAAATACTGAATCATGTTCAAAGCTGCTCGTTGATTTCTCACCGCCTTTCATTCCTTCTCTTTCCAGTTAAGTCGAAGGGGAGGCAGGCCACGGGGGGGTGCTGCTGCTGTGGTGTGTTGGACTGTAAAGCAGCTAAAGGCTTTATTGCTTGTGTGTGGTTAAAAAAAAAGTCTTGGGTCCTAAGCAGAACTTGAAGCATAAGAAACTGCTGATAAACAGAAAGAGGCCTGTGGAAAATATCCTGGGTCTCAGTAGGAGCTGCTGTGTTCTTGGCTTATGGGAGTCTGAGGGTGGTGGTAGCTTGGCTTGAACCTCTTCTGTAAAATGAACACAGAAAAATAAATTCCCATCTTCATGTGTCTGGGTTCTATTCATTATGCTTCTAAAAGGTGAAGGGGGGCTGGACTCTGGTGTGAGGGGGTACTGAGGGCTGAGAGGAACCTGCTTTCTGTCTTCCTGAGATGCAGCACTGAAACCTTTCAGAGATGCCCAAGGACTCTAACTGCTGTGGCAGACCCATCCAATCTCCTGCTTAGGAGCAGCACGGAAAGGCAGAGACAGGTCTGCAAAGGGTGGTGTGGAGAGCTCTGCATGGAGCTGGGCAGGCTGAGCATTCGGCTTCATGCTCCAGGGCCAGCAATAGCGAGCAGAGGCCGGGGCGTTTTTGC